ACGTCTTTTATACATGAATATGTGTCCCCGGTGTTCCAGGGAACTCACCGGCTCGGAGCTGGAGCTGGAAAAGCGCCGGTTTTTCCTGTTCACACCGCAGCGGCGCCGCGTCATAGCTCCGGAATGCGGTTCACTTCCAGCTCCAAAAAATTGTCGGTCTAGAGGCAAGAGCTTCGGAGCTATGACGCGGCGTCGCTTACGTCTCTCTTACGTCGAGGCGTGCAGGAAACTAAACCCATGTTATTGATCATTGTGGAGAGCAGGCAGACGTTTTGTTTGTTATTATAGCAGCTATCGGATGGAATCAATACATGGGCTGCACAGGTTGTCATGTCCGACTATCACAAGTAGAATCATAATGAAAAATACGCCGGTAAAATGTGCCTGTAGAAAACGGCTTAGCAAGTAGTCAGTTTAGCTTCGGTTGCTATGCTAACATCACCCATGTTATACCAGAGAAATTTCATAACAGCGTTGTGATGCCAAACAGCGTCAATTCAGACTGACACACATTCACTTAAGGGGAACTGGGGATATGTATCAGCTGCTTGTGTGACAGTCAGACAGTGAATACTTTAGAGCCGTGTGAGCTAACCCGGAGCTAACGGGAAAATAAACTCCCGTGGAAGAGCAGCCAGCACTGCAGCGGTCAGTAAATGCCGCTGAAACACATTAATAAACAATGAACCACGGCACTCTGGAGAAAAGTATAAGGTTGGAGAAGTCGTTATTTAATTTAATCTGGCTTCGTATGATTAAAAGCAACACGATCATCGACCCGACGCAGTCCCCCCCCGTTGTTGTGAGCTCCGTTGGGGAGAAAATCAGCGATGTAAACGGTGACGTCATGACAGAGCGGGAGCTGAAAAGGGAAACCGGAGCTGAACCAGAAAAGCTCTAGCTAGGAGCTAGAAAGGGAAAAGCGCTGGTGTGAAAGCCACACAAGTGTCAGAAAACACAACCCTCTCTATTTTCCTCCATACCCAAATCTCTAAAAAAGGGGCTGCAACGGATCTGATACAGACTGATCCAGATTTGAACACTTCTATGACGTCACAGAAGTGATAGCTACGGCTATTGGGCCAACTCTCCACCTATCAGGGGAATGTGGGGTTGGGCCACGGCCGGCCATTGCCGCTCGAAAGCGCTGGAGACGCTGTAGTACATATGCCAGGCCTGTAAGTGGCGCTGTAGTCTGCCACAAAAGCAGCGAAGAAGACTTCCCGCCCATAGTTACCATGGTTACCCTTCTGTTTATTCTCCGCTGTGGCTTTTTTTCTCCCTCCAAGCGTTTGCTCCCGCTGCTTTAATTCAATGCAATCCCTCCCCTTCGAGGCAAGCACTGTAATTCTCTCCGGTTAGTCCACCAGCAGATGACAAATACCCACCTTTCCGCCTCTTCCAAGGAACGAGGGGATCGTGCGGCAGAGTTTCAGTTTCAGTTTCTTTCGCCGGTCAAGATGTCCGTTAAAGTTGAAATCTTCCGGACAAAATTAGAAAAGTGCCGGTCAAAGGTCTTCTTTGTTATTTATTGAGCTTTAAAACAAATGAATAACGACTCACTCTATATAATAAAACACGGAGGACGGAGATCTCTTTTTCTCCCCCTCTTCTGACAGCCTAGCAGCTGATCAGAGCACGGCTACCCTCTCCTGAGTCCTGAGCGAAATGAGGCATGGCTAAAATGCATGATCTGTTTGGTATTTTGAAAACAGAAACGTATAAATATACCTTATATAGGTATGGCCCTACAATATATCATTTAAATATAGCATGATAGGTCCACTTTAAATAAAATAAGAACTCATTCTCAAAAAAGATAAACGCCATTCTTAAAATGTATAAACTGTAGTGATCACTAATTAACGGGGTTACATAATTCAATCCCGGACATATATGTTGACGGTACCTCCGGGGTACCTACCGTGTGTGTGTCCCTTTCACTTGCTCTTGCCTTCTCGGGCTGCGACCCGACAGCATGTCGATTTCTGCAGCTCAATAAAGTGAGATTTGCACCTTCGATGCACCGCTTCCGACTCCCTTCTCTAGGCACTACATTGGTGACCCTGACATAAATCTCGCGAAGGATCCGAGACTGAATCGAACACGGCAAAAAGCGCAGCTTTTCTCGAAATGCCGGGGATTTTTGGAGACCTCCGTGGCTGCCACGTGCGCTCGGACTGTGGCTCGGTGCGCCCTCCGGAATGGACGCGGACGAAGCTCGCCATTTCCACGGCTTTTCGGCTCTGGGGGACAGCAAGCCTTCCATGGAGCCGATACACGACCGTGCCGGGTTTATTCGGGACATGCGGCTGCATGTCCGGCCAGCGACTAACGGCCGCCGAGAACAGCTAGCCACGACTGCTAACGGCTAGCAGCTGGCGACAGCTAACGACGGCTAGCCACAGCAGCTAGCGGCTATCGGCTATGTTTTTTTTGTTTTTGTTTTTTGTGGTGCCTGAGAGGAGGTTCGATCAAGTCTGGTCGGCCTCGCGTGGATCCTCTCGCTATTTCGCCCACCTGTTTTTGTTCGTGGACGGGACGACCATTTTTAAGCTTTTTCTGGTGCCTGAGAGGAGGTTCGACCATGTCTGGTCGGCCTCGTGTGGACCCTCTCGCTTTATCACCACCTCGACGGCGGTTTCGGACGTCACACACGCCTGCTTCGGCCCGTGGGTGACGCGCTTCTGGACCCCGTCTCGCCTCTTCCCTCGCCGGTTTCGAACGTCGCCCATGCCTTCATCGGCCCGCGGGTGGCGCGCTTCGGGACCCTGCCTGGCCTCTCCTCTAACCGCGGCTCACGGTTCGCCTCGACGCCGCCCCGTCTGGCCTCTCCCCTGTCCACGTCTCCCTCCTCCCGGGGACACGGCTCCTTCCTCCCGAGGATTTCGTACCCGCCGCCGCTGTGCCTTCGCCAGCGGCCGGGCGGCGCTCCTCCCTGCTGGGGACCTCCGGGTTTTTCACGCCCGTCCCCACGTCGCAACACAGGGACCCTGCTTTCTGCGGCCCCCTGACGACGGCCCGTTCCGGCCCGCCCCCCACCCCCCAGTGGGGATGCCCTCGCCCTCGTTGGGGCCCCTACCCTCTCCTGCGGCCCCGTTACATGGCCCGGCCCTCGCCGGCGGGCCCCGCCCTCCTCGGCCCCTGTGGTGCTTCCTCCCGGACGCGAGGATTGTGTCCATGGTTGAATTCTGGGGGGGCTTGTGTAGTGATCACTAATTAACGGGGTTACATAATTCAATCCAGGAACTACAGGTTGGGGGTATTGTTTCCGCCCGGACATATATGTTGACGGTACCTCCGGGGTACCTACCGTGTGTGGGTGTTTCTCAATCGCGAGTAAAGCTGCTTCAGAGCCACTATTTCAAGCATACTACGTCATCGAGTGCCGCCGAAGTACTGTTCCAATCTCCAGCATACTTGGAAATCTACCGAGCCCGTCTTAAAATCCCCACAATGCTTTGCGCACGGACCAATTTCCAAAATCTGTGGCGGAAAATGTAAGGCGGGGCCTCTCATATGACGCACACCTGCACACTTGCTAGCCTGTTCCACTCTTTGTTTTCCGAATGCCAGGAAGTATTCTTGCCTCGCTTCTGAAGCAAGATGCTCGGCAGACATGTGCTACCAAGCAAGCGTACTCGCGATTGAGAAACACCCTGTGTGTCCCTTTCACTTGCTCTTGCCTTCTCGGGCTGCGACCGTAAGCATGTCGATTTCTGCTGCTCAATAAAGTGAGATTTGCACCTTCGATGCACCGCTTCCGACTCCCTTCTCTAGGCACTACAAAACGAACAATAGTTAGATTAATATTGATTAGAGTGCACAATAGAAATAAAATAATTCAGAGAAGAAAAAGAGATATGTTATCTATCAAAACCCAGTTAGATTAACATTCATTGGATTGCACACTTTGTTTGTTTGTGTGGATATGTAGCAAATTAACATTTTAAATAGCACTTAATGACTGACTGAATGGAAATGACAATAAATGAAAATATAAAACGAAAAAGCGATCATGAAAATGTTTCCAATAAATGAATAAAATAATTTTTGACCACTTTGTTGTTCAGATATATCACATTTGTAACTGAATGATGCATTAATTGAACCAAAACACAGTATAAACTGAGGAGTGAGTCTCGTGAGTTTCATGTGTTTTCTTCACTCCGCTGGGAAACTGCTCTCATGTCAAGAAGCATCAGATCAGGGGGCGGAGCGAGTATCTGAGGATTTCACCAGAGGATGGTCTGGTGGTTCCTCGGTTATCGCTCCTCCATTATCGCTCCTCGCTCCTCGATCCTCGGTCCTCCGGCAGAAATAAGAGCCATGGGACGCTACTCAAGATGGCGCAGACAAATCAACTTCCGGTGATACCGAGGACCGACGACCGAGGAAATTAAAATAGTCGACCTGAGACGCAGCCACAGCCTTTAACTTGACTGACACACTGCAGCAGACGTGTGAAGATTTAAGCTACTGGTATTATCTTTGTTTTAACTATCTGCAATATTCAATTTGTAGTTAAAAGTTGAATATTCAACAGAAACTGCTGGAATACTGCAATCCAGTGCAATTGTTAAGCCAGTCTTTTGTTTTCATCTTGCTGCTCCTGTCTCTTAAGACTCCAGTAGTAACATTTCATTTAATTTCGTGCATGTTTTAGTGTACAACACCGTCCGATCTGATTCACATAGCATTATTTTCAGGGCCTGTTTCAGTAGAGCCAAATACAACTCGAACACTTGAGGGTACTTCGTGTGTATGCGTCCGTATTCTGTACGTATGCATAAAGGGAAAATCTACATTAAGGTAGCTTTATTAGATCTCTTATTTGGCATGCGTTTCTGCCCAATAACTGATCATAATGTACAAAATGCATTAATTACTACGATAGAGGCAATTGTAACTGCAATAACACTGTATTCTTTAAGGTCGATGTGATGTAGAATCCATTTGGTTTTGTTTCAGTTCATTTCAGGAAATCAAACACTGCTTCATTTCAAGAAATCCTTTTATTCGTAACCCAACATGGTGAAAAATAACTGAACATTTAAAACTTTTAAAACACTTTTTTACTAAACTATGTAGTCTTTTTGAATGTTGGCTTTACATGTTTCTTAATACGGCTTTCAGTTTAATTCATTTTCCATCTGGGAACACCACCTGTTTGCCAGCATGAGAGCCCCCACCCCAGTGAAGATCACACCTTATTTTAAACCAGGGGTTTTATGTTAGGACTTGTGAGTTCTTCTCACGTAAAGCATAATTCCCATTTTAAGTGAATGTAAGATATGCAAATGATGTTCTTAAATCATCTGATGTTGTGAAATGATTTAGTGATGAATCCAGCAGTACATTTGAGTAGATTGCCAATGCCTGGTCTGTTGAGAACATGTTAACACCACTGGCCCCAAGTGACTAAATTGAGTCAAAACATTTTTGATTGAAATGAAGTGAATACATACAACCCATCTAGGCAGTTCATTTTCAACATCAGTGAATTTATTGAAGAGTGCAAATGATAAGTTCAGTTCACAAACAGATTTTATTTGACACAAAAGGCACAGAGATCAATAAAGGGGAATGTTTGCCTTTCTAATACTCCTCTCCTTCCTCATCCTCACCTCCCAGACTATCAGCTCCAACCTCCTCGTAATCTTTCTCCAGAGCAGCCATGTCTTCTCTGGCCTCAGAAAACTCCCCCTCCTCCATACCCTCCCCCACATACCAGTGCACAAAGGCACGCTTAGCATACATCAGATCAAACTTGTGGTCCAGCCGAGCCCAGGCCTCTGCAATAGCAGTGGTGTTGCTCAGCATGCACACAGCCCTCTGCACCTTGGCCAGGTCTCCACCAGGAACTACAGTGGGCGGCTGGTAGTTGATGCCCACCTTGAAACCAGTGGGGCACCAGTCCACAAACTGGATGGAGCGCTTGGTTTTGATGGTTGCAATGGCAGCATTCACATCTTTGGGAACCACATCACCACGGTACAAAAGGCAGCAGGCCATGTATTTACCGTGGCGTGGGTCACATTTAACAAACTGATTGGCTGGCTCAAAGCAGGAATTGGTGATTTCTGACACCGTTAACTGCTCATGGTAAGCTTTCTCTGCAGAGATAACAGGGGCATAGGTGGCCAGAGGGAAGTGGATACGGGGGTAGGGCACCAAGTTGGTCTGGAACTCTGTCAGATCAACATTGAGGGCACCATCAAAACGAAGGGATGCAGTGATGGAGGACACAATCTGACTCATTAACCTGTTGAGGTTGGTGTAAGAGGGACGCTCGATATCAAGGTTTCTACGACAGATCTCATAAATGGCCTCGTTATCAACCATGAAGGCACAGTCAGAGTGCTCCAGGGTGGTGTGGGTGGTGAGGATGGCGTTGTAGGGCTCCACCACAGCGGTGGACACCTGGGGAGCTGGGTAAACGGAGAACTCCAGCTTTGACTTCTTTCCGTAGTCGACAGACAGACGCTCCATCAGCAGGGAGGTGAAACCAGAGCCGGTGCCCCCTCCGAAGCTGTGGAAAACCAGGAAACCCTGAAGACCAGTGCACTGGTCCGACTGAAACAAAAGAAGAGAAAAATCATCAAATAACTTTATTTATATAGCAAAAAAACTGCAGTTCCCAGGGCTCACAGCTAATTATTTAAGGGTTTATTTGTGCACAGCATGTAAACGTATACAATAGATTAAATGAAAACAGATCAGAGGGTGCCATACCATGGAGGGCTTTGAATGCGATCAGGAGGATCTTAAACTGAATTCTGCAGGGTGGAGGAAGTCAACGTCACATATTTGTTATTATTTATGATAATTGGCTTTGCAATACTTATTTTCGCTGTTACTTTGGTATTCACCAACATATTTTCGCAAACTCCTTGTATGTGAAAACCTACTTGGCAATACACCGATTCATTTCCATTTAATACTCTTCAGCAACATTTGAAATTGACTTCCATTCTAAATATACCCACCAGTTTGCGGATCCTGTCCATCACCAGGTCGATGACCTCCTTGCCGACGGTGTAGTGTCCACGGGCGTAGTTGTTGGCAGCATCCTCCTTGCCAGTGATCAGCTGCTCAGGGTGGAACAGCTGGCGGTAGGTCCCAGTGCGCACCTCATCTAAGGATAATAAGCATTAATTTATTGGAAGTTTTGTACGAGAGGTGTATTTATAAAAAAAAAACTAAAAAAAACACGCATTTCTGAACTTTTATCATTTATAATTAATGTGAATTTACCGATGACAGTGGGCTCCAGGTCAACAAAAACTGCTCTGGGGACGTGCTTTCCCGATCCAGTCTCCATGAAGAAGGTGTTGAAGGAATCGTCTCCTCCTCCAATTGACTGGTCACCGGGCTTCCTGCCGTCCGGCTGGATCCCATGTTCCAGGCAGTAAAGCTCCCAGCAGGCATTGCCAATCTGGACACCAGCCTGACCGACGTGGATGGACAGACACTCACGCTGTAACGAAAAAAAAGGTTGTTAAGAAAATATAAAGGAAGCTTAGTTGACTTATTCTTGTGCAAATCTAAAAATATATATTCGAACATATCGCCACATGTGGAGGACTGCTCCAGAGATAACGGCTCTTTTAATAACCAAATTATATAACCTCATTTTTTAAGTAACCTGACACACATTTGTCATCCGAACAGAAAACCCTTTATTAAAAAATAAGGCTAAATACTGTTCATATTAGGTCCAATACCGAAAGCACAATGACGCAGCTGTATGCAGACAGGATTAAGAAAGGAGACTACGCATTTACATTTTCTGTGTCACAAGGACTGCACCACTGCCACACCCCTGAGGGTAATTAATGGTGGCACTTTTGGCGTAAAATATCTGAACGTTAACACATTTATTAATCGCCTCTCTCTCACAATGCTAAACTTAGTTAACACTGGACCCAGTTCGCTTGTCTCTCTAACATGACAAGAACATACACCGTGTTCGACACGAACATACACCGTGTTCGACAAAAACGTCGCAGCAAAAAGAACTCTCGCGAGATTTGGCAACACGTTAATTCTATTGACGAGTAAAAATTTCAAACGTAAGTAAAAAAAAAAAACGCCCTGATGAACTGCAATTGAAAGACATTTTTTTTTTACATTTGTGTGAATATTTAATTGTTTTAATATAAAAACATTAAACCCGCCCACAAAGGAGACAGGAAGTGTATACATTTCCAACAATTGGCGCCGAATGTAAATGCGTCACGACATCTTAGTTCCGTCGAGTTACACTTAATTTATCAACATCACTGTTAAAACTACATATACATGACGAAATTTGGTTTTTCATCTTACACCTCAACATTTTTGTTAACATTTTAAAATCTGATGAGTCTTCTTTAAAGAGTAAACGGTAAGCTGGTTACGTTTTCGCATGATGACACATGTTCGGAGCATTGCATTTGGTTAAATATACATACTTTCAGTAGACAAAAGCTGTACTATCGTACTCACCATTTTCTGAATATGTGGAGTATACGGAGTTTGATTAATAAACGGAAAAGTCCAAGTTATCTCTCACAGCAAGGCCTTTATGGGTCCAGTGTAAGAAGTAACTGACGTGATTTTCCTCGGGGGGGTTATTTATAGTCTCTGACGCGTCGAAAATGCTGCGGAATCTGATTGGCCGAAAAGACAGTAGAGCCCGCTTCTGATTGGTTGAATTCGTTTTAATTTTTTTTAATGCAACTTTATTCAGTTCATAGAAAAACAAGAACAGTGGCAATAGAAAATCCTGTTCAAAGCGGAATCACCCCACCTAAGAACGTCAGTCCTAGGAAAACGTGGTGGTGAACATTAATAAATAAGCGTAATAAAATAATACAACAACATAGAAAGCACTACACGAAAACGTTTAGCAAATAAGATAATAAGAACAAAAATATTGACATGTATTCCGATTTTTTACGTTCATATTTTAATTATGATATATATTTCTTTTTTTTATAAGTCGTAATTTTTCCAAACATATCTTTGTCTGACATTATTAATATGGTCATTATTATTGCTAAATATCATTTATTGTATCAAGTGCAGAAATAGTAAGCCCTCATTTTATATTGTTTATAACTGACTCCAAATGGTTTTTCTAATCACTTAAAAGACATACAAGAAAAAAAAGAAAGAAAGATTTGTGTCAATCCCCAAAATAAACAAATTTTGCAGACCCTATCCCTCCGTAGTCTTTCAAGTAGGAGGAGAAATGCAGCGTTCTCCTCCGGTTTACAGGCACTGTAAATTATAGAATAAAAATGATGACGATGAATGCATTTTTTTACCACTAAAATACAGCAACACATCTTTGATTCATGTCGTTTATAACTGGACTATTACAATTATTATTAACTTTGTCTGTACAAAGTAGCCTGTCCAGGAAATATGTCCAAATCAACAAAAACTGCGAGCCGGCACGCAAGACGCTCCGCTTCTGAAATGCGCCCGGTGGGGTTTGACCATGGGTTTGACCATGGGTTTGACGCTGGAAGAGCATAGGAGGAGGTCGGAACACAACCGCGGGGCAGACGTAACGCGGTGGAATCCCGGGGCGGTCCTCCGACGATTGTGACTTATCAATTATTGTTTTAAATTATGCCATTGTTTTTGATATCCTAACTCATTATTCTCTAATTCTGATTCTGATTCTGAAATGTATGATTTTTAAATAAATCTCAATTGTCTTTATGCATTATGCAATTACTTTTACTGCACTACAAGGTTCAGAGAGCACCACCTCTCAGGGCCGTCCCTCCCTACAGGCCTGATCACGCAGACTGCGTGGAGCCTCACCTTGCGGAGGAGGCCTCAACTGAGCTGCAAATGCGGCGCAATTGTGACGCGGCACGGTTTAGCCGCTGCGAGGCTCCACTAGCACTCATCCCCCCCCCCTGTCAAAACAGAGGGCCTCATCATATAACTTTGCGTGGGGCCTCAAGTTGGCCAGGGACGGCCCTGCCCACTGCATCACAACATTGCATCTTTCTTTACCTTTGCCCTCTTGCTCGATAAAGTATTGTGGGTCAGAATAGCCATAAAAATATGATGGCTTCCATACTGCAATATGCAGTAGGACATAATTGTATTTTTTGCTTAATGCCTTTGACCTTCTTACTTTGCTTCTGGCTTAACAAATAGTTGTATGAGTGATGGAACCCACAGTAATCTCATTGTTCTGCATTGTATTCTTCTGTCCAGTTTCTTTCCTACTTTTAACTGCTGCTTAATACACTAAGTAATCCTAATCCAAAATGGCTCTCATCGAAGCCCTGTATGTGTGTAATAATGTGTTTTCGACAGCTTACCTTTCAAAACCAACGAGCACCTTATTAAATAAAGCACATTTGATGTCAATATTTCTAATAGGATTCCTCCTGTACATTTTCATCAATCAACAACCAAGATATTTAAATAAGATTACTCTATCCATGGACTTGCTATGTAGTGGTAACCCCTGGCAATGACCTATTAGGCTATTTCCTTTTAGTGACCAGCATACATTATGATTTTCCTACTGACATTTTGAATCCACAAGAAAAAAAGCATTCTCTATATTGATAATTGCTTTTGAATACATTTGGGCAGTCCTGCTTGGTTTGGAACAGATAGGAACCATCGGCTGTCGCTTGTTTCCCGGTTAGAGGCGGACGAGTCGCTGAAGGAGCAAATCAAAATGGCGAGCCAAGAGGAGTCTGTCAGGGAGTTCGTCGCTGTTACTGATGTGGAGGAGGAGAGAGCCCGGTTTTTCCTGGAGTCAGCAGGATGGAATTTGCAGGTAAGTGAGTAAGTGTTTTTCCCCCACTAAACAGTGGGGAACTGTAAGGCGGGAAGTCAACAGAAAACAGCGCTGACAGGATAGGTGTAAGGGGAATAGCTTCCCGGCTAACGTTAGCCTGTGTTACCGGTAATTTGTGCAAGTCACCCTTTGACAATAGCCTGGTCGCTTTCTGTCACCAAACAATAAAACCAATGTACAATTAGTAAGCAAACACAGTCATGTTTACTTAATTGTCCATTCCTGAAGTGTCACCACTAAGCATGTTGCCATTACGTGTGGGCTAAAGCTACTCTGACGTTTGTCCATTGAGCCATGCTAGCTAGCGTTAGCATGAACCGATGTGACGTTAGATTAATGTCAGTCAACCTGGTAAAGATAAGTTAGCTTCTGACGCTGCTGTGTCAGCTGTCCCGCTGAAAGTCATGTTTGTGGGTAGGAGGACGGCTGTAAACACACTCAATTCATCGTCAAATAACTTTACATATGGAAAACGAAACTGAATTACTATTATGATCCAGTGTTCTCAATCGAATAGCGCCTCAACTGTGGAATATAGCATTTTACAGAGAGAACTAGACAAAATAAATATTAACTTTGATTGTCTTGTGTGAATAGGGATTTCACACGTTATGACACAGCAAATTAAGAAGGAGTTAAGTTATCTAGCTATTGACTGAAATGTTCTCTAAATGGTTATCAGTAAAACAAGTCATTCATGGTAATTTTATTCAAGGAGCTCTATAATCTGTAAATTATACAGCACCCTCTGTTTTATGACTTCCGTTTCGAATAAGGAACAATCCCCAAACAAAGCCCATTAGGGGAAACGCTTCAAGAAGAGCAACTGAGGGATCCCTCTCTGAAAAGTATGACGTGTAACATAGTAAAAGGACCCTGATGACAAATTGTACATAACATATAAAATACATTTCTTTTGACCTACATTTTTTTTCTTCCCAGCTCGCACTCGCCAGTTTCTTTGAGGATGGAGCTGATGAAGACATAGTGACGCTTCCTCAGCCTGAGATAGGCTCCTCGGTGTCTCGGTCTGCAGGGCCAAGGTGACTTATTGACACATCACATTCCAAGAAAATGTATTGGCCCACTCATAAGCTTCAATGCAATGTCCTTTATTGACCATTACTCTAAAACTGTATTTATCATCAGCGCTCAGCCCAGAGTTACCTCCTTCAGAGATATGATGCATGACGCAGAGGAGGAGAGTGATGAGGAGGAAGGCCAAAGGTAAGTGGGATTTCCAGTTTGGTCTATCTTTAGCAATGTATCACTCACTTTTAGAATAATCATAATGGTGTATTTTTCTCCTTACGGTAGATATTTGACTGCTTTAGGTTAGATTTAATATATTGATCCCCATTTAGGAAATTATTTTGCCACAGCAGCATGTAAACAAATCATTGCACCTGAATTTAAATAGAAAATAAACATTAACAGTAGATGGAAGAAAATATATGCAAACAGTAAATACATACAAATCAACAATGAGAGATGATTATCTACAAAGTATCTCTATGAGATAGACAATATAAATATACATCATAAGTTAGTATACACTTTAATAGACCAACCTACTACCAATAGAATGTAAACATAGGATAGTATTTACAGCATACTTTACACAAGGGTGCAAAGTAATTGCAATTTTATTTATTAAGTTGAAATGCAATGACCTTTTTCTCAAGAAACGTACAGATTAGAGTTGAATAAATTATAGAAAATGGATCAAGGAATTCAAAGGGACTAAAGTAGACTCAAAGACACATTTAAGTAAAAGGTATTTGCCCTTTATAGTAACCGTTAGAGTTATTTCTCTTTATCTTCATTGGTTGTGACAATTGTTCACGGCTGTATACATGTCTGTCTGTCTCAGCAGCTTGCTCTCAGTGTTTGGCTGGCAGAAAGTCAAACATAGCAGGGTGTTTCCAGAATGCACCAATCTATTTCTGGTCTCCCATCATTCTCTGTGAGCCGGTCATCTGTGCTTTTCTGCTGCATCGACAGAATCTGCTGTCAGGGCACTGCAGTGAACTGATTGTTTAAAAAGAACGATTGTTTGCTAATGCCCTTTTTTGACATTACACCAACTACTAGCAAGCTTAACTTAAGAGAAATAAATGTGTTAACTAAAGTAAATTCTAATACAAAATGTACTATGTTTCAGGCTTTAAAGGTAGGGTAGGTAAGTTTGAGAAACCGGCTCGAGATACACTTTTTGTTATATTCCATGGAATGCTCTTAACATCCCGATAGCAATGAATATCTTAAGTGCTTTGACAAAAAATCCATTAAAAAATGTCATCTGTGGAAGCCGTAATACTGTAAAAAGTACGACCAATCATTTTAGCCAGCCCGGCTAAAATAACTGGATGGCCTACCTGCCTGTCAGCCTTCCATCTGTGCACAAACTTATCTGGTGCCCTCATTGGTCATGTGCGCGTTCGTGTGTGTTGGAGGAGGGGCTCTGTAAGGAAGTGGCAGATTTTCTCCGGTTGTGTATTTTCAAATTCTAGCGATCTCGAGCCGGTTTCTCAAACTTACCTACCCTACCTTTAATCAGATTTTCAATATATTATTATCGCAAAACAACAACTATAAAGTTATCTGTAGAGAGTTTGAATAATAAAAATGTTATCAGTCAAAGGGATCTTTATTGTGCGTTTTGTCTCTTGTTTTTGGCAAGTGTGATTTAGACAAAGCAAAGCGAACAGAAACTAAAATGATTTAGAAGGTGGTGGATTATTTCTACTATGCATGCATAAATAAATAAATGTTAACTAGGTAAAATAAGATATAAATGAACAACAAAAATAAAATAAGTTACATTTATTTGTTATTGGCTATGGTCACATACTTATTTGATTATTAAAATGTAAACCGATCTTTTTCATATGGGTGTTTTAGAGTTGTACCCCCTAGATCAGGTCTCTAGTAATTGTGTGCTCAAAGTGCACCAGATTGAAGCATTTTACTTTAAAATGTTCAAAAAAATCCTCCCGGGTGGGCATACTCCCGGACACCCCTAGAGGATGTGACGTCCACCCCCCAATTAAAACATGTTCATACAATACTGAATACATTTGAAGCCATTTTGACGTATATTACCAATGTCAATAAGTTTCTGTTTTTGTAGTGTATTTGTCTTTTGTAGAGATTTTTAATTTATTCTTTATATATAAAATCTCGCCTAAAATCTCGCCTAGGGCAGCAAATTGGCTAGAACCGGCCCTGGTACTAGGCCTCAAGAGCCTTTCTTGTGCTGGCAGACACATAGAAACAAGTTGGCGGGGCGCACTTCGCACGCGCACACACTAAAAAATTCCATGTGCTCCACGCTCACATTATGCTAGGCCCACGTGGCTTAGCACCGCTGCTATGACTCCATCCTAGGGGAAACACTGAGAGTACTTATCATGGGGCTCAATAAACTGCTGACAGAATTCTTGAAAAAACAGTCAGTGTTGTTCATTGTGGTTAAATGTGTTAGCCCTGTCAATTTGAATAATTCTCAGTCCACAATACTTGGAAAAGTGTTCACACTACACATGGTGTGTTACCTGGACAGCTGGCTCAAATCCAAAAATGTGCTTGTGTTTTTCCTTTGAAGAATATACTGTATTTCAGAAATCTTGGTAACTGTACTTAAAAAGTGTTGTCTGTGTATTTAGCGTTGATGCATGGTGTATTAGGTTTGTAAGATAAGAGTCTGAGCATTCCAGGGCTTTGCTCAAGCTGGGTTCATGGTCAACACAGAGGGCCGATTGCTCGTAGGGCTGCTCGATTTGGGTAAAAAATACTAATTGCAACTATTTTGCCTGATATTGAAATTGCGAATTACATTACATGTTACTTGTTAGACGCTTTTATCCAAAGCGACTTACATACTCAATACTGTGGGCAATCCCCACAGGAGCAATTTGGGCAAGTGTCTTGCCCAGGGACACGACGACATGCTGACTGCAGTGGGGTTTGAACCTGTGCTCCCCTGATCCGAACACCAGTGCACTAGTCCACTGCGCCACATGCCTCCATTCACTGGAGTCGAATCACTGCTTAACGTACATACAAACGATATTCGTTTAAGTCTGTAGAATATAGGGTTGCAAAGGGGCGAAACATTTCCGGTAAATGTCCGGAAAGTTTCCATGGGAAGTTAAGCTGGGGAATTTTGGAAATATTCTATGCAAAATTAACCAAAAAACATGACATTTCAACAGATTTTTGGAACAGAACAAGTTTTAATTATTTTATTGAACAATTATTTGTTTCATTGAAGAACAAAAACAGGAATGTTGAGTTAAATATGACTCATCCCCCCCCCCAACCCCACTCGTTAAAAAATGAACAAAAATGCACCCCCCATCCAAAAATCCCCACAAAGTCCCATTCAAAATGTTAAATGAAAAGATATGGCTTCATTTGTCTTGTGCTTTGGGCTCAAAAGTGTGATTCAGTCTTCTCGAAATCATCTGTGCATGTGATGGAGGAATGCACAGTGCCTGTAGGGGGTGTGGTCTCAATAGCCATGCAGTAAGCAGTCTGCTGTGGCATGGATATTCAAGTGTACTTGAATGGCATCTGTTTGTTTTAGTCAAGATTATGCTAAAATATACTTTCCCCAACTATATTTAAGTTCCCTATGAAGAGCCAACCTTCAATTTAGAAAATTCCCAGTTTATTCCCATACATTCCCGTTTATTCCCGTTAATGGAAAGTTTCCATCTTTGAAAATTCCCGGAATTTTGCAACCCTAGTAGAATATGATTTGTAGTCCAGGAAGTGTTTGGGCAAGTGTCTTGCCCAGGGACACGACGACATGCTGACTGCAGTGGGGTTTAAACCTGTGCTCCCCTGATCCGAACACCAGTGCACTAGTCCACTGCGCCACACGCCTCCATTCACTGGAGTCGAATCACTGCTTAACGTACATACAAACGATATTCGTTTAAGTCTGTAGAATATGATTTGTAGTCCAGGAAGTGTTTGCAGCACCAATATCCTGGCATCAGAATAATGGTTATATATAATTTCCCTGTAGAAAAGATATAGCCTCTTTTTGTGCAGCCCCAATTGTTTGTATATTTGACTTGTCAACTTTATCTTTCTTATTCTCTCTGTTAATTACACTCTCCACAGTAAATATCCCCATTTTCTGTTCGCTTTGTAATGTGAGATTGTGGGAAGGTTGGCCTTGTTTCGTGTATGACACCTTTCTGTGCTGTGTTTAGTGTATTCAATGTGCTAGAGTGGTGTCGCAGTAAGCAGAAGGTTAAAGTTGGTTTGCTAATACAGAAAAGGAGAAGGTTACTTAGACATTTTTCAATCTTTTTATTGATTTATTCCTTATCAATCTATACCAGAATCAAAAGATTGTTTTACAAAATATTAGCAATACACGCTAACCAATAACGGTTCTTACGGTTTCAACATTGTGTCTCCATAGCCCCAATGTATAGTTCCGTTTTTAAGGGGGGCCCATGTCAGCCCGTCTAAATACATAGCATATGCACCAAGCCAATTTATGCAAATGAAAATGAAGCTAATAATCCTTTAAATTATAGCTGGAAAAATACAATCCAGAGCACATCTGTTACATAGTAACTCTACACAGTGATTGCAATTCATGCACTAGAATGACATAAGTAATCATAGACCCTGAGCTAATTATAAACTGTTGGAATGCAAAAACAAGGGAGACTTGAATACAATGCTGCTTTCCACAGTGAGATTGTGAGCCATCTAAATTGTATTCACTAATAACAATAAGTTATATTTGTATAGCACTTTTCATGCAGCTAAAATTGCTGTAACAAGGCACACATCACAATTTAAGAGTTGTTCATCAGGCCAGACATTAAAACCTTGTAGTACATATGCAGCATAACAACATGATATAACAGTTTAACACTTTAAGAGACAAGGTATGGTAATACAAAATTAAACACAATGAAATCATAGTGATCTCCCTCAGTAAAATACAGGAAGACAAAACCAATACATACGATAAAATATAAAAAACATTTAAATAAATAAAATAAAAACCCAAATAAGATAATAATAGAAACTAAAATGATGAATAAGAATAATAAAGGTGAAATTATTAAAAGACCAACTTAAAAGGGAATGTCGCTAATAAAATGGTAAAATAAATCATATTAAAAACATATAAAATCAGTAAAACAATATATAAAAAAAAACTAATAATAAAGAATAAAATAATATATTTTTCTAAGTAGGGTGTCACCATACAAAGCTAATTAAAAAATGTGTCTTTAGCTGTCGTTTAGAAATAATCCACTGAGTTGGCCTCTCTGATATTTCCTAGACATTAAACACACCATCTATCATCTCTCAAAATAAATATCTTACCTGAGACTTTGAGACCCTCACACAGCGGGATATTCATAGAACTTTCTAATTCCTGACTCCTTTTTTCTCACCCTGCCAGGTTTTTTGCGGGGGGGTCGGAGCGCAGTGGGCAGCAGATCGTAGGGCCTCCCAAGAAGAAGAGCTCCAATGAAGTGGTGGAGGATTTATTCAAGGGGGCCAGAGAACATGGGGCTGTGCCTCTGGACCGGCCTGGGAGGGGGCCAGGAGAGACCAGCAAAGCCAAGGTACGGGGGAACTCTTGAGAACAACGCCATTGTCCTTTTCCCCTTCTACATCTGTACAACATTTGTACAATATTTTTTAATCGCTCAAACAGATGGGTCAGCAGTTCCATCCTCTTCTTGTTTGTAATTCTTCTTGATTAATCAGTGTTTATCTCCTCCTCTGCTCTTAGGCCTTTATCGGTGGGGGCTACAGGCTGGGTGCAGCTCCTGAGGAGGAGTCAGCCTACGTGTCCGGAGAGAGGCGCGGCCCTAGAAGCCAGCAAGATGTGAGTATGTCTTAACGTCTTGCATTGTGTCTGCCATTTCTGGTACTATTCAAGGCACAGCACAAGGGCTTATGCCATCACCCTTCTCTGCTAAACTGCCTAAACTGCCTAAACCGTAAAAAAAGAACAACCTCAGAGCTAATAGAACAATGGCCAAGCATAAAAAAACATAATTCAACAAGAAAAGTGTATTTAATGTCTATAATAAATCTGCACAAAATGTATTCAAATTGTTCTTTTTACACAAAGTTCATTTAGTTGCTGATTATTACTTTGTTATCAGATGTTCTGCACATGTTCTGCACTGTGTTTGTTATGCAGTCAGGACATTTAGGAAATGTTTCCGGCAGTGGCTCAGTCAGTAGTGGACTGCTACTTGGAGAGGTCCCAGTTCACCTCCTGGGCCCTGCCGTGGTGCCCTTGAGCAAGGCACCGGACATCCCCCTCCCCCCCACTCCCATTGCTCACCGGGCGCTGTACAACAGCTGCCCACTGCTCCTAGTACAGGATGGGTTAAATGCAGAGGCCAATTGTCACTGTGTGTGCTGTGCTCTACATGTGTGACCATTAAAGAGGGGTTTCATCCCTCTGATTCTATCTATCTAACATAAACAAAGTGTAGGAGCTAAGATGCTTATTTTGTATAATTACACATTTCTATAATAATCATTAGTTGTTCACACAGAACATGGTTGTAAATGGTCACTTCCACCAATTGTCAGATGGGTTTGGTTTCAGGGGTTGGATTCTTAGTCCACCTGTTTGATTCCGGGCTGATTTGGAAAGACAAAGGGGGTTATGAGGATTGACCGTTTGCTCCTGTTTTAGTTATTGTTTGTTTTTATTAACATCGTTAAACTATAACTTCAGTACGGACTCTAACTTGAAGGCGTCAAAGTGATGAGCCTAACTTGGCCTCTAACCACTATCCAATAGGCGTGTGTTGCTACACAAAGAATATGACAGATTGTATAGAAACATGTGATGGTCCACTAGCTTCATAATGTTCTATAAAATGTCCAGTCATACGACTATAGGTTTTTTAGTGGTCAGCCCTGAGCACATTTCAGTACACGCTAATTGAATGTGGTCATATTGAGGGAAAGTAAATCCATTTATGCCTCGATATGCAGCATAATTTTAAGGTTGTAGGCTACATTAAGTAGTAACTTATAAAATATGTAGTTGGCATGCTATGGTTCCACATGTACAGGACATACAAAGCTGTTGCTGTTTCATTTAAGTACTGCACAAGTACAGTACACACAAAAAACAAAACTAAATAAAGTCATCTGAGAAGGTCAAATTGTTCAGTTTTTGCTAAGATTAGTTGTAGGGGAATAACATCTATACTGATGTATGATCTGCCCCATTCTCTGTCTGTTGTTAGGTACACGTGGTGCTGAAGCTGTGGAAGACAGGCTTCAGTCTGGATAACGGTGATCTCAGAAACTACAGCGATCCTGGAAATGCCAACTTCCTCGAGGCCATCAGAAGAGGGTGAGAACAGTCACTAATAGAAACATCGTCAGCACACACACTTGACTCTAATGCTCCTATGTGAATATGTATATGGCTGTATGTTGACCGGTTGTCCCTCTGCAGGGAGATTCCCCTGGAGCTGAGGCAGCGGTCCCGGGGGGGCCAAGTCAACCTGGACATGGAGGACCACAGAGACGAGGACTTCTCCAAACCCAAGGTGGCCTTCAGGGCCTTTGGCGGCGAAGGACAGAAGCTGGGAACGTGAGACTGATGAGCTGTCTTGTTTATTAGTTGAACATGCTTTCCGTATTGTTTTCCAAACAAAAAGCAGAATCTAAATTTAAGTCTGGAAAACTAGTTTTCCCTGCTCTGCGTGAATATGAATCATCTTTATTTCTGGGCTCATTCCAGTGAAATGACTGCTTTCTAACTAGTCATGTGGCACTGTTTGAGCACATTAAAATACAGTTCTCAGGTCAATTCTCCACCTATCAGGGGAATGTGGGGTTGGGCCACGGCCGGCCATTGCCGCTCGAAAGCGCTGGAGACGCTGTAGTACATATGCCGGGCCTGTAAGTGGCGCTGTAGTCTGCCACAAAAGCAGCGAAGAAGACTTCCCTTGCATGGTTGCCATGGTTGCCCTTCTGTTTATTCTCCGCTGTGGCTTTCTTTCTCCCTCCCCGAGGCAAGCGTTTGCTCCCGCTGCTTTAATTCAATGCAACCCCTCCCCGTCGAGGCAAGCACTGTAATTCTCTCCGGTTAATCCACCAGCAGATGACAAACACCCACCTCTCCGCCTCTTCCAAGGAACGAGGGGACCGTGCGGCAGAGTTTCAGTTAGATTTTTTTCCGCCGGTCAACATGTCCGTTAAAGTTTAAATCTTCCGGACAAAATTAGAAAAGTGCCGGTCAAAGGTCTTCTTTGTTATTTATTGAGCTTTAAAACAAATGAATAATGACTCTATATAATAATATATAAGAATAAAACACGGAGGACGGAGATCTCTTTTCCTCGCCCTCTTCTGACAGCCCAGCAGCTGATCAGAGCGCGCTCCCCTCTCCTGCAGGGGGGCGTGGTCAGCTGCAGTTCACAGAATCAGCCCCCTGCAAAAACAGGGCTGGAGAACAGCAAATAAAGCGAAATGAGGCATGGCTAAAATGCATGATCTGTTTGGTATTTTGAAAAAAAAACTATATTTATATACTTTGTATAGGTATGGCCCTACAATATATTGTTCAAATATAGCATGATATGTCCCCTTTAAAGTAAAGTAAGTGGATTTTAACAGCACTTAAATAACCCAAATAAAGAAATCTACGATTGTAAATTCGACATAGTTGCTATCACATTTGTAGTGTAGGGAATGTCTTGGATATTTTGTGATGGTCTGCTGCCGCATCATGTTATGCATCTTTAAACTAATAATGGGATTTTTAACAATGGATTTGCTGCAAATGTTGTTTTTTTTTAACTTGTCTTTATTGAAAAAGGGGTTTTCTATATGTAGCTAACACTGTTCGTGCTGTTAGATTAAGTAGCAACAAGTAAGAAAACATGTATTCAGTGTCCAGTCCAGAATTTAATAATGTTAAACTTGGTGTTAATGGGCTTTAAAAAGCATGGGGAGTTTATGATACTCAGGGCCTGAGGGCAGCAGAGCTGTTCATACTTTTAAAAGCGAACTCAAGACCCTCCTAATTGCTTCTAACTGAATTGTATTTTATTCTTATTTAAAAATGTTTGATACATTTTTTTTAATTTGTAATATGTATGTATACTGGCAAAATGCTGACTAATTCCCGTTTTTTTAGGAAGCTAATTCTATCAAATATTAAGATGCAAATATTTGTATAAAAAAGCCTCGGCTAACTTTCCCCTCCCCCTCCTCCTCCCACAGTGCCACCCCAGAGCTGGTTAACTCCCCCGCCTCCTCGCAGCAGGACCAGTTAGCTAACGAGGCTCAGGCCAGCGCCACCGTCAGCCTGGACTCCTCCCAGCCCGTCACCAATATCCAGATCAGACTGCATGACGGAGGCCGGTTGGTGCAGAGGTTCAACCACACCCACAGGTGACACCACACCCTCATGAGCTCTTCTCTTCTGAAAGATGGCACGCACACATCATCAATTAAGACAGCATTCTTGTCGGTGGTCCTCTATTGCTGACAGTTTTCTTTAACGTTAAATTGTAAACAAACCACACGTGACTTCTTATGCTGTAGCAGAGTGTTCTTTTCAAATAACCGACACAGACATTTAGACGGGCATGATTGATGTGACCCCATGGATAAGCATTGTGATTGATCGTGTTTACCTGGAAGTCAACAAGGTGAATATCGTCAATTACCGATGAACAGACGGTGAATCTGTGCTTCTCTCTTTTAGATTGAGTATGACATTTTCTCATTCAGTTAACCCCATGTCATTGCCCCAAAAACAATGATAAACCAGTGAAAAATATATTTAGAAAAAAAGCTGTTTTGTTATCAAACAACTCGGTTAACTAATTGTATTCAGATTTGTCCATTTTGACATTCAGTTACCTGCTAATTGTTGATAGCAGACCGTTGCCAAGGACGCTCTGGTTAAGGGACTATGTGCAGTCATATCATTCCGCATAACTCTGGTCAATATAACGTTAGCTGTGTCCCAAAAATGTTAGAGAACACAGAACTTTGTATTCATGATGGCTAAAGTATGGGTCCAAAGAGAAAGTATGGGTCCAAAGAAAACCATCGCTGCGGAGGAGGTCGAGGACATTAAAAAGTCGCTCGACTTCCTGGCGGAGGAAATTTCTGCTGTCAGGTTGCAGCAGAAAAACATTTTGGACCTTGTAAAAGAGGTTAAGGATCTGCGGATCCAGAATGCTGAGAAGGACAAGAGGATAACTTACCTGGAGAGCAGAGTGGAGGACCTTGAGCAATATACTAGGATGAACAATGTTATCGTTACCGGGCTCAACATAAAACCCCGGTCATACGCTCGGGCTGTGACCGTTGACAACAGGAGTGAGCTCGGGGAGCTTGATGTCAGCTCCACGGAGCAACAGGTGGCTGCTTTCCTCCAGTCCAAGGGGATCGAACTGGGCTGTGAGAACATCGAGGCATGCCACCCCCTGCCAAGGAGTAACGCTGGCAACAAACCGGCTATTCTCATCAGGTTTGTGAACAGGAAACACAAAACGGCCTTACTCAAACAAGGAAGGAAGCTGAAAGGTTCAGATGTCTACATCAACGAGCATCTGACCAAGTACAACGGCGACATAGCCAGAAAGGCTCGCTTCATGAAAAAACAGAAGAAAATTCAGAACACCTGGACAACAAACTGCAAAATATTTATAAAGCTAAACGGAACACCTGAGGAGGCCAAAGTACTGGTCATCAGAAACATGGAGGATCTGGATAAATACCAATAATCTTCATGTTCTGGACCACACATAAGGTAACAAACACTTGCACACAACCATGACTCACACTGAATGGAGGCAATCATCTTCAAAAGGGGAAAATATTAATATGTCTCAGATGATCAAGGAACAAGACCAACTGTTGCTAAAAACATTTGAATACACTGACTATAAAACAAAAGATCTGGATTATGAAATAGACCCGGACAATAATTTCTTCTCTTCTATCATCAACAAATGCTGTTATTACACTGATCAACAGTACAACCAGAGCATATCATCAGAGGGCAAGCTATCTATTATTCACTTCAACAGCAGAAGCATGTATGCAAACTTTAATCTCATCAAGGAATATTTAAATCAGTTTCAACAAACATTTAGCATCATTGCCATATCTGAAACTTGGATCACGGAGGACAAAGGCATAGACTTTGAGCTGGAGGGCTATGAACTCAGATACATAAATAGACAAAACAAGGGTGGAGGAGGAGTAGCCTTGTATGTGGACAATACTTTAAAATATAAAGTGATGAATTATATGTCAACAGTGATTGATAATGTATTGGAATGTATCACGATTGAAATCTGCAAAGAAAAAACGAAAAATGTAATCATCAGTTGTATATATAGAGCACCCGGCTCTAGTATTGAGATTTTCAAGGACTGGATGGAGGAAATATTCTCAAAAGTGATTCATAAAACAGTTTTCATTTGTGGTGACTTCAATATTGACCTTCTAAATCCAAATAATCACAGCATGACAGAAGAATTTATCAACACAATGTACAGTATGGGTTTATATCCAAAAATTACTAGACCCAGCAGAATCACATCGCACTGTGCTACTCTCATAGACAATATATTCACAAATGACATAGAAAACAATACAGTAAGTGGACTCTTAATAAATGATATAAGTGACCACCTACCAGTATTTGCAGTTTATGACAGAAACTATAGTAATGACATGCCGGACAAAGCTATTCAATACAGACGAGTTAGATCAGAGGAAGCAATGAACGCTTTGAAAAATGCCTTACTGGCACAAAGATGGGATGATTTATACAAAGAAAACAATATTGACAGTACATATGATCAATTCCTGAGAATTTTATTATCACTATATAATACATACTGCCCAATTGTCAAATACAGTAGAAAAATGAAATATGCAGAATGTCCATGGATCACAAGGGGTTTACAAAATGCCTGTAAGAAGAAAAATTCATTGTATAGAGATTTCATGCGAAATAAAACAAGAGACAGAGATTAGATATAAAAAATATAAAAATAAATTAACAATTATAATAAGGACCTGCAAAAGTGAATACTATCGGAAAATACTGGACAAAAATAAAAACAACATTAAAGAAATATGGAGCATACTGAATAGTATTATAAAAAATGGGTCTAGAAAAAGGAGTTATCCTACTTACTTCATTGACAAGGATAAGGAAGAGGAAAATATGGATGTTGTATCCAACAGTTTCAATGATTTCTTTGTAAATGTTGGACCTGAATTAGCAGACAAAATCCCTGATGGAGGAACATCAGAAAATAAGCTGGAAAACTTAATAAAACTGAATCCTTTCTCAATGTTCCTCACAGCAGTGCATGAAAGGGAAGTAGTTGATATTGTAACGAAATGTAAAAACAAAAAATCTACCGATTGTGATGACATTGACATGACTGTATTAAAAAAGGTTATAGATGTTATTTCAAAACCATTAACACACATATGTAACTTATCATTCCAAACTGGTGCATTTCCTAACAAAATGAAAATAGCAAAAGTCATACCTTTGTTCAAAGCTGGGAACAAACATCACTTCACAAACTACAGACCTGTCTCACTTCTACCACAATTCTCAAAGATTCTTGAAAAGCTTTTCAATAACAGACTGAACAATTTCATAGAAAAACACAAACTTCTCACCGAAAGTCAATATGGATTCAGAGCCAATAGATCAACATCGATGGCTTTAGTAGACTCACTTGAAGAAATTACTAGCTCAATTGACCAAAAGAAACATGCAATTGGAATATTCATTGACCTAAAAAAGGCATTTGACACGATTAATCATGACATATTAATAAAAAAACTTGAACGTTATGGAATCAGGGGTGTAGTTTTGGAATGGGTAAGGAGTTATTTAACCAACAGGCAACAGTTTGTGAAGCTGGGAGAGTGTTGTTCTTCATATTTGGACATTACATGCGGTGTCCCCCAGGGGTCAGTATTTGGGCCAAAACTATTTATTATGTATATTAATGAAATATGCAATGTATCGACAGTACTCAAGTTTGTTTTGTTTGCTGATGACACTAATATATTTTGTTCTGGGGACAATGTACAGCTACTATTGGAAGAGATCACAGCTGAAATATGCAAACTAAAGTCATGGCTAAACAGTAATAAGTTATCATTAAACTTGAATAAAACAACATTAATCATATTTGGAAATAGCAATACACAAGCATCCATTAAGATAGATGGGATTTTCATTGAGAGAGTTAAAGAACATAAATTCCTTGGAATCACAATTGATGAGAAACTGAGCTGGAAACCACACATAAAACATATTCATTCCAAAGTCTCAAGAAGTATTGCAATATTAAACAAGGCAAAACAGATTCTTGATCAAAATTCCCTCTACATTCTTTACTGTTCATTGGTTTTACCTTATTTAAGTTACTGTGCAGAGGTTTGGGGCAGTAATTATAAAACTACAACACAATCCCTATTTATTCTACAAAAAAGAGCAATAAGACTTATTAAAAATGTCGGCTATAGGGATCATACAAACCCATTATTTTTAGAGCTAAAATTATTAAAACTGTCAGATCTTGTTGAATTCCAAATCGCACAAATCATGTTTAAGGCAAAAAACGTTCAATTACCTGGAAATATTCAGATATTGTTCAATGAAAGACAAGGGAATTATTATTTACGGGGTTCATTTATATTCACTAATGTTAGGGTGCGCAAAAAACAAAGACAAGTTTTTGTGTTTCTGTTTGTGGGGTGAAGATCTGGAACAATTTGAGTGAGGAGCTAAAGGGATGTCCAAACATAAAACTATTCAAAAAGAGGTATAAAGACACAATTCTCACAAGGTACAGGGATGAAACTGCTAAACCATAACTGTTTGTATTCTTGTTTTGTATTTTATTTATGAATATGTGTTTGTATGAATTTGTGTATGTATGTATATATATATATATATATATATATATATATATATATATATATATATATATATATATATATATATATATATATATATATATATATATATATCTATATATATTATATATATATAATATATATATATATATATATATATATATAAATATATAAATATATAGAGACCATTGTCCTAACTTGCCTGTATATATTATATATTATATTATATCAATTATTCAAGATTATAAGTATACGTTTATATTGTATGTTAATGTAAAAAAATAAAAATAAAAATAAAAATAAAAAAGGGAGAAGGGGTCGGATTAAATAAGTGTAAACTTCTTCCGACCCCTTTTCGGACGTGTAATTAGCTAAAGCTTTGTTGTTTATTGTTTATTGATATCAGACAATGATACTGCAGATTATTCAATTATTATTTAAATGTTTTGTTTTGTTATTGCATTCATTTGTATAGTACTGTATCATGTCTGTATCACCTTTTGTTTCATTTGTATTTTCTTTGGTTTTACACGCTCGAAAAAAATAAAATAAACTAAACTAAACTAAACTGTCCCCAGTAAAGAAAAGGAAAACAAGAGATGGAAAGGGTTTAATACTCGGAGAGCTTGATGACAGACAAATCTGCAGCAGAAGAAGAGTGACAGGAAATAAACACTGACACCGTATGTACTCTGCCAGTGTTTAAAGACTGGTTAATGGAAAAGAAAATGTGAACAGACTTGGACAGTTACAGAGAACCTCGCTCAGTGCCATGTTCGTTGTGGCCACAGTTCAAGCCGTTGATACGCAGAAGAATGGACTATTTTGTCTTGGTGGAAGCAATAGATTTTAAAATCGATAATTACAAAATCTATACCGTTAGAGCAAATTCTGCTGTAGTGAATGGCTTGCTGCACATTATCCCTTACTCACCGCAACATCAGTAACCCCCCCGTGTTGTTGCTCCTTCAGGGTGTCAGATCTGCGGCAGTTTCTGGTGGGGGCCCGGCCCCTCATGGCCGCCAGTGAATTCGTCCTGATGACCACCTTCCCCAACAAGGAGCTGTCGGATGAGAGCCTGACGCTGGAGCAGGCCAACCTCCTGAACGCCGTCATCGTGCAGAGGCTAACCTGAGGGGGAGAGTAAGAGCATCCACCCTCCACACTCCCTCCCCGGGGGGTGTGGCTGAGTTACCTGCTTCTGAGGGAGGGGGAAACATGGACTTATGTATGGACTTCTCATTTCTGAATTTTTGTTTTTCTAAAGTGAAACCCCCACTCTCAACCTCCTCCCCCCCTTCTGCGGTGACGGGGGCACTTTAAATCTTCTACTTTGGAACAGATAAATTAAGAGCTGTAAGATACGCCTACAGATGCTGTAGGATGTTCTGATGGGGGGGTGTTTACTGACAGTGGTAGATGGTTTAACCCAAACACAGCTTCCTGCACAGATGTTCACTAAACTTCTTTTTCCTTTGCCCTGCTCCCCATTTCCCTCCCCTATTAACCTGAATTTGGCCCTTCAGCTCAGTTTACTATCAGGAGCTGGGGCCTCGCCCCACATAAGGAGTATTAGTGTTATTACAGTAATGTGGTTTTGTACAAGTTTCCACTTCCCTCCACATGAGAGAAGTGTAATAGTGACAAAACACTGAAGAGAGATTTTCTTTGACCTATACCAGTAGCCTTACACTCATTCACCTGCAGAACCACAACCGTCCCTCTGATCAAATTAAGATTATTTTTTTAAACTGCCCCCCGCCCCCCTCTTTATTCCTTTTTATTTCCTTTACAACTTTACAGTTAGACGGTGGCATTTTGATACGGTGTAACATGAAGATCTGTTGCGCCTGGCTTTATGTTCAAACCAATGGTCGAGCTGAAGAACATTTAGATTGTAAACACTGGTTTGTAGAAGTTGAATTCCTATGACACTGACATCTTCTATGCATCCTGGGGCAACAAGGAAATATGTTCGGACCTCTGGTGAAATAAATCCATTTTATGGTTGATGTATGAAGAATTATTGTCTTGTGTTTTTCTTATAGGTGTGGAAATAATTGTATTCTAGTGACAATATCAACTTTTTGGGTTTATAAATGTGATAGTGTAGTTCTGTCTAATGTTTCCGGGCCAGTATATCAGTCGGAACCTTTATCATTATTCAATCAAGCAACTACCCTCATAATCAGTTCCTTTTGAGCAGCAACATTTCAGAAATATCTTCTTTTTTTTTTATGTGTACTGTCAAGAGTTATAATAGTGAAGGTGGATACACTCAGGAGCGCAGATGGATGACATCCCAACATAAGAATATTTTCAGCGTCATCAGAAAAGGTATGTGTAAACTCAGAAATGTCTCTCAAACTCCTTTTTAATGCTCAAAATATTTTCATTAAAAAAAACAAATTGGTTATGTTTTCTGTATCAGATATTAATTGAAAATCTATAAGATCGTTTTTTTTTATTGTGATCTAAAACTATCTTAGAATTATTTTAGAATTGAATATACATTTAATTTTTCATTTTGGAATTATGTTTGTGCAATAATGTGAACATTTCTTTTTTTGATTTATTAATTATTTTTGTATTTATGCTGCTTTGGATAATATTAGCTTTTTCATATGGTGTGGGCACTGGGACAGATCTAGTCATTTCTAGCAGAATTTTTATTAAAATGTGTTGGGAAGTTTGTGCTCGGTGCTGCCATCAGGTGGAGACTCCTGACACTATAGAGCCCAGTTTTATATTTTGGGAGGCTTCGATTAAGAGCAAATTGATATCCTTTTATAATTGTAACCATAATGTGATAATAAATACTTTATAATAGCGTGTCGTATGTGACTCTACATGCTTTTACATGTTACGCCTCCTTGTACTTGGTGTCAGTTGATCCATAAAAGGTCAGACCACAGTGACAGTGCAGGAACAAACACTAACTTTTGCAGATTCTGAGAAAATAAACTGCCGGACACAGACATGCAACGGATAATCAAACTTTAGTTGACTGGCTACTTTTGGTTGTTAAGAAGATGAACATTTATTCATCTCCTAGGGCAGTGGTTCTCAAACTTTTTCTGTCAGCCTATGGAGAAAAAAAAAAGTCGGGCCCCCCCAACACAAATAGTCACGTAATGGGCCAAGTTAACATTTATTAAAATGGATCAATATGAACGTGAGCATTCCTTTGCTAGAACAGTGATAATAAAACAATGCTCCATAAGTCTGTGTGGTCAAAAATATATACATAATGTAATTGTGCAATCCCTTTGCTAGAACAATAAGTTATAATACTTTGCCACTTTGCAATCTGTGCAAAAAAATGAAAAGAAAGAAAATGTTGATATTTGGTAAAAAAAGTGTCTTATCATTAGTGGCTGCAATGAGCCTGTTTTGCACTGCACATTTCTTCAAAATGGGGTTGCAAGCTCAGTGGCGGCGCTAGAGATTTCTTTTGGGGGTGCTGTGGAGTAACTTGACGTTTCATAGAGGCTGCTCAAACATTTAGAGTTTCCCATTAAGGTACCGGTCGCTACAGTGGAATATTCTACTGCAACACTCCCAACGCAAATACACAGTGTACCCGCGACTGTTACAATGAAGGCTCACGGCAAATAGGTGTAAGCAGGGGTAAGGGGTGCTATTTTTATAAGTGGGAAGTGGACCTAACCTAGGCATGCTCCCCCGGGAAGATTTTTTTTAAATATTGAAGTTAAAAGCATCAATCTTGTGCACTTTGAGAGCAAAATGAAGAGATCTGTGGATACATCTCTCAACACCCATATGAAACAGAACTGTAAACAGATTTACTATTTCTTTATGGATATTTTACAAATCACTCTCCCTTTAAACTTTATTCTTGTTTTACTGTCATATAGTATTTCATACCTGTTTTTCATTTATTCTCTTTTTATAACTATGATCATATAAACGTGTGCCTCGGAAATAATTATTTACATTAATTGTGACCAAAACGCTTGAGACCCGGCCACTAAGCTCGCTAGCACCAGAAGCTAACAACAACGATCTCCGGTACCGGTGCACTCTCTCTCTCTCGCTCGCGCACGCACACAAAATGGCTCGTTCCACACACACACACAGAGACCCAGACGTACTTGTACTGTACTGGGAGTCCCAGCAGCTTCTACTGAAGCCAGTCCCCAACTCCGGGGACTTCCGGCCGGGGACTTCGGGTGGCAGTATACGCCGTGAAGTTGTTTGCGGCCAGCCAGTAAACCCAAAGCAGCAGAAGAAGAAGTGACGTCAGCGGCTCCCTCAGGGACTTATTCCGGTGTGAACGCGATTTACTAGATAGTTCCAGGAAATAAAAGTTCCGGGGGAAAAGTTCCGGGACCTATTCCTGGGAAAAGTACTTGGTGTGAAAGCGCCTATTGGTATTGAAGGTACTGCACTAGGTGGCTCCAGTCCTACCTCTCAGAACGATCCCACTTCATCTCCCTCCCCAACCACTCCACCATCTGGCAGAGGGCCAGATGGTGGTCTATCTCACTAACCTTCTCACCCCCTATCAATCCCCACGGTCCCTCAGATCCAGCGCAGCCGGACTCCTATCCATTCCCACATCCAAACTCTGCAGCATTGGGGACAGAGCCTTCTCAGTGGCAGCTCCTAGGTTCTGGAATTCCCTCCCCCAAGATCTTCGTGATTCCGAGTCCCTCAGTCTTTCAGTCCCGCCTCAAAACCCATCTCTTCAACTGTGTCTATCCATAAGCCCCCCCCCCCCCCAATCAACTTCCTCTCGACTGCCTTTTCTGTTTATTTTATTTTGTTTTATTTATTTGTTTCGATTTGTTGTTTTTGTTTGTTTTGCCTGTCCTTGTTTGTCTACCCTCCCTCATACTGTAAAGCGTCTTTGAGTTCCAGAAAAGCGCTATATAAATATAATGTATTATTATTATTCCGCGTCTCTTTGTGGTCATTTTGTAGTCTTTTTCTGCTCAAGTATGTGTCATTTTTAATTTTGAAGGTGAAGTCCATGGGGGCCCTGAACCCTCGGTCCATTCAGTAATACATGTATAAATACGATCCAGGAGATGGAGGAGTTAGTGGGGTCTCTGCAGCATCATGGTGGGTTCTAATCTGAGACAATGTTGCATTGCCCCCCAGGCACGTGCACAGATAGACCCCAAAGCGGGCTTCACAAATGCCCTTTTGCCCTATTATTACACAAATGGCCTTATTCAAATATAATTTATAATGAGGTTTTTTCTGCGCACATGGAAACCCAGTTCACAAAGGATTAACGACAGAGTTCCTTGGGCTACTGAAAAGTTTTAATACTGAAGCAAAATAAGTTGTGTTTTGTTAGGTATTTTATATCATGTGTATAGTGAATCTGATTTCTTCAAAATTGTGCCAAGTTGCACTGTATTTAGTGTGTTTGCCTTTTATGTAAAAATGATCGATGAGAAACATATATACCTGTGTCTAATGCATACAATATCAGCATTTTCTCAGTGCCTGCTATTACTGAAGAAAATACAGTATGCCTAATGCCTTTATGGTAGTAACTAGAAGAATGTACTGCAATACATTTAATTTCTTTGCATGTATTTTTAAATAACTGTCATGAAGCAGTGTGTGAACCAACCTGTCAGTGATTTGTTTAAAAAAAATACAATTAAATATTGCTTTAACACTGTCACAATTCTTTTTTATTCCAGGCATATTTTTATTAGATTGGTAACAAAAAACGCTGATGTGGCCTTTTATGCATTTCAGCCCCTTCCCCTTACAACTCTACCCAGTAGTTGGTAACCCTGATAAATTATGAAGTAATACAACAAAGCTAACTAAAGACAGACTTATTTGTTGGTACACTTATCAGGACCGCCTCACTGGGTCTACCGTCGTCGACAACTGGGCAGACTCCACTACTGAAAACACGATAGGAATGAGGTTAAAACTATAGTCTGTTCATTTGTTTCAAATCTCAATGTCCATAAATGATGGCAAAATGTCACAAAAAAGTAAACACTCTGCCCATATAAAGATATAAATCCACGTAAACGGTAAGAAAAAAATGCCAAACAATGTTAATTGAAAGCAGTTTACACCCACCCACCCCTTTTTTCTATAATGGTACAGCGCAACTGAATTTCCCCAGCATCTTCGATGGCATGTGCTCGTGCCTGTTGCCCCCTCCCCCCCTCTCTTTCCATATGTCAGCACTTCACCCCAAATTGTCCACAGTATTTAATGTATGTAAGCCGCTTTGGATAAAAGCGTTTAACAAGGGACATGTAATGTAATGTAATGTGCTTTTATACAAGAACACAGCTTCACATTCATATCACACAACGTAACAGCTGTTTGCTGGTCTTTGTATGATGTCTGAAAAGTGGTCAGCTGTGATGATATTGGTCCTCCAATTCTTTCTGCTTTTCCAGAATTGTACTTCACACCAAAAGTGACTCACTGTGCTTTTTGTTCCCAAGAAGCCTTCCCTGGATCTTCAGTGTCATTTCCACTCAAGAAACACTCACTGAAATGTTCTACTTCCTGTAAATCTCACACTGACATCAGTGTTGTGGTCAGTGTCAAGTGAAATCACTTAATCTCCAGATAAATGGAATCACTTTATGAAACAAATACTCTGCAGTCCTTTTATTTCAGTTTTAGCTACTTATACAAACATGTTGACACTTTTGCCTAATGTTGTTTTTTCTTTAACTTTATCCCAGTTGAGCCCCGAGCCTGTTTTTCAGGCCTCAGGCTCGAAAATGACATTCCCAGAACAATTGACTATATCTTCACTTCTAAAAGGGGTAGGCTACATTAATAATCTTTTTTCTCAAAGTAATGATAAACCTGTGAGTTGGATGTAGAAAAGTCAGAATCAATATAGATGTTTTTTATTTTAAAGTAAATTCAGATTGAACATAGTAAAAAAATGTAAATTATAGTGTCCGTCCAAAAAAAGGTAGTGAAAACCACCCTTGAATGATGGGATAGTAGACTAAAAGCTTTAGGAATCCAAACCATAACATATAATAAGTACCC